GCATAAAAAAAAGTACTCATTAGTAGTCGCTTATCACGCATGATATTTTTCGATATCGTTAAACATCCAAATTCATGTGGCGTTTTGCATCTATTACAATTGAGTTAAAAGTAATGCAGAGATTATTTCAATAACGTAAAATTAGTAGCTGATAAATTCATAAAATTTTACAGTCTATAATTTTTTTAGTTTTTGATTATATACAAGCACAAATTCGGTATTAAATGAAAATACATTTTATCTAAGCTATATATCGGTGGGGCTATAAAGACGTCTGAACTTAAGGCCTTACTTTTTTTCTAATATCATTTTTCGTATGGCTGCTGAATACTGCTGTAGCTGTTAATGTAATTGAAGCAATACCACGAAGAATCGTTAATGGCCCTAGTGTCAGGTGAATATAAAATACATGTGTATGAAACTATTTTACAAGTGATTTGGGTATCAAAGTTTCGATTTTAGCTGTAGTATGCATAAAGCAAACGTAAAATACACTACACAGAATTTAAGTATGTGTAAACTAGTGTAAATGTATAAACTATCGTACATATGTTACGTGTAAATGTATAAACAAACGCTATTATACTTTTTTGTCCTTTTGAGTAAAACAACTTGAGCAATTATCGTATTACGTTAAAGATTATTTAAAATTGTTGCACCATAGGAAAGAAAAACGTCGTTTTGAAGATTTTTAATCATTGCTAATTTATTAACGTTACAGCGTTGACGTTGAAATTAAAAAAAAAAAAAAAAATTATTCTCATTTAATGGCGGAAATAAAAAAATTGCATGAAATAATAAAACATAAAAACATTTGTCATTAATTGTAAGTTACTCACCGATATCGTGCTATTGTAATTTGGAAACTATTTCGGGATGACAGGTTTTTTAAATAACACTTCTGGAAGCGCGCAGCATATTAAAAATTGACTCGGGAAATGAGCGAACGAATGCGCGTACAGATATACAATGAGTGATAGCTGGTTCTTCGTGCATGCGTACAGGCGGTCCCACTTTTTTAGCTCTCTCCCCTCTACCACGTATATGCCCGAGTAGAAATTTTCCGTAACATGGCCGACTGCCTGTACATATATATCTTCAACAGGCAAAATAGGCGTTTTCTGTGTCTCTGAGTTCAGGCCCTTACCTGAACCTGATAAAAATCTACTACTGTGTACTGTGGGAATTCTTAATCTAAATTTTTGTTGTTACCCCTGAAGATCCAAAAAAATGAAGCAAAGCCAATAAGGCTCTCGAAATAAGTTCACAATGCGGTTGCTTCACGCAATGAATAACAACTTACATTGATTTTGTTAGTTACATGGTAAAGTTGCAAATTTACTGGATTCTATCGATACATTAATTTTTTCAAAAAAAATACACGCTTGGTTGAAACGTCTTTAGATAGCTCACCGATATTCTCAAAAGTTTATTACGGTTTGAACACTAATGGGTGATTCTGCCGTAAGTGGCCAATTTTGTATCCAGAGCTCATACTACTACAAGAATCTAAAATTGTACGTTCAAATTTCGTGAAGTCATATAGTAAAAAATAGTAGTGATACAATGATAACATTTATAATACTAGTAGGAAGTTGATAAGTTTAAACGCAGTAACGCCTTAACCCGCGATATTCTTGACAATAATTATGAAATCAAAACTAAAACTATGCCCTATGGCGATAATGATGAAAAAAAAAAAAAAAAAAAAAAATCCTATGTAACATAATTAATGCATAAGGAAATTTTGAACTCATCAAAAATTTGTACAAGAGAAGCGCGCGAACATGAACAATTAGGATGGATTACAAAAAAATAGCAAAAGTTAAATCAGTAGGAGCAAAAAGGGACATATAGCTTGAAACGACCCTCTTTCCTCTAACTCGATACAATAAAATACAATACGAACAACATGATACGAACACTACATCTACCATATCACAAACATACCTATAAGCCAAAAAGAATCCCGTCGTTGAGGACAACGACGTCACGGTGTCTCGAACGTGTAACGGACGATATACTTTTTTTTTTTTTATTATGGTGTAGTGACCTCATTTGAGGTATTTACACTAATACGTACGATATACTTGACGTATTTGACGCGGGTATCAAGCTGCCGAAACTGCATAGCAACAGGCGAGTCTATTAACCACCCGAGGTAGCCGGGCAGCTTAGTTCGGGGAATTAAGTTAACGACAGTCGAACAGTCGAGTCCACGGCCGATCATAGGAGAGTTGGCAGTTGCCTTGCACTTACACTGGACGGAGCTAATCAAGTCCGAGAAACAAAAAAAAAACTTTCCTCAAAAGTAAGCTATTCTAATGATCACGATTCACCCCTATATTGATTGAATAGCCGAGAAACCCACGTAACGCGGCCAAGTTTTTTTTTTTTGTTCGGTGCAGCATAGTTTTTGTATGAAAAAATAATACTCTCCATAGTACTTTTACTAAGTATATACAATTAGCTTATCCGCTACATCTAAATTTATTTGTTTGATGATTTTAATTCGATTCAATGTTATTTAAGTAGTACTTGGTTATTCGGTTAATAATATTTTACCCATTCATAGGGAAGCTTTAAATTATGTGGTGAGCAGGAGTTTTTAGGACATTGTTATTTACTGAGACACAACATTTAACAACATTAGTAATTTGAACCCACAATTAATTTCTTTTCGAAAAAAGCCTAAGAAACTTGCAAGTCGTCGAAATAGCTGTTTCAATTTAAATATATATTCAGGTATTCGTAGCAGTGTGTTGAAAATTTTATCAGCCAGATAATTATGTTGTGGTATGTGAGCCTCCATCGCTCTGAAGAAGATATCTGGCTATACAATGGTTAGAATTTTTCGGAATTTTATTTTATCCACACTATTAGTTTCCAAGAAATACTTACGTACCGTAACAAAAATTTCTTTTGAGTTGATAATATTAGAAATAATTCGTTGCCACACAATTTATGTGTTTCGATATTTATTCTGATAATATTTCCTGTTGCAATAGAAAATGCAGTATTCGTTTTTTACATGCACAAATTGGCAAATTCTAAATCGATTGGTTTATAATAATTAATTGAAATTTTTATGACAGGTATGTCATGCTATAACACGATCAGTTAGTCACCAATAATACCCGTTTTCGATGGCCTGAAATGAATTATGTTACTTTTCGACGGCATTTTATGAATTATATGTTAGTTTTCAACAGCAAAAAATGAATTGTTCTACGTGGTTCCCATGTTATATTATTTCAGTGAATTAAAAAAAAAAGTTTAACATTTACGCGAAATGAAGACACATTATATTTTAATAGGAAGAAATGGTGAATTAAAAACACGTAGAGCCTCTTTTTTGCTGGCTCAACTAATTTTTGTCGTAATTTTTGTTGTCAAACAGAAAAAAGAATTTTTACGATCGACTGATGTTACGACAATGCATGTGGATCATTTTACAAAAAAAAAAGGCAGATTCTGAAGACTGAAGTACAAAAAACTGAATTAAAAAGGGTTTTGTAAAATTTCTCAAATATTTTTGCATCGTATGTGACTACAACAAGTGATTGTTTTATGATCCAATCTGGCCAAAAAAATTTTTCCTAATAGTAAGGAAGTGTTATTAACTTTCGGGAAAAAACGGGATCGTTACGGGCTCTGAGAGAATCGTAGTGGAATCAGGATTGTTACGCATTAAACAAAATTTGCACTTTGTCCTTACACTTATATCATGCAACAGCTATATATTGTAACCTTGTACTTTTCAAGTCGATAACTGAACACTTACCGACAATATACTTTATCCGAAAGTGTTACTGGCCACTCTAAGGTTTGATTTAGGGTAGACTTTGCGAAATCGCGAGTTTGTTGTACAAACAAATTAGAAAAATTTCTACGATTTACTCAGCCTTCGTAGAATACTAAATTTTTGAATTGGAGCTTGGAGCTTCCGAATACTTTCGTGTTCATTAGCAAAAGCATTTTCCATGGATGCATTGGATTCATCAGATTTTTGGGACCACCACTATACTAGAGTACTTATTTCATAGTATTGAATAGAATTTTTTTGTTCGACACGTTAATAATGTACACAGACGAGCATTGGTTCAATAATGCAGCAAATTGGGCGTATTAAACATAATATCGCTACGATGTGCCAAACTACAGTTCTTATGTAATTATTAAATTCTCTCTCAAACCAATTATTCGATTTCCAACATAAACAGACCACATTTTTTTTACGACGTTTTTAATTTTATGGTGCAATAAAATTTTTTTTTGCATTTACTACATTTTGTCCTCCAACGTATTTACGGGATCCTTCACCTGCATAGTTGAATAAATTGAATAAACTTATGAAATACTTAATTCATGTTTTGACACTATTCGCGCGGCTACAGTTTAAACCATGATGTAAAAATATACATACTACACATACCTCTCGACCGGTGAACACCTAAAGACAGTATTGACTAATTCATAACAGTGTTTCACCAAACTAGTGTAATAAGTATGTGTGTGAGAGAGGCTATAGTGCCAAGAGCCATTGTAAAAAGCTGTAAATAAATATCGTAAATGTTCGTCAGTGGTCTTTACTGCCTCTAACCTTTATACCCAAGTAACAATAAGTATAGGTACCACAGGTGTGTGTCGTTGCGCATCCATTTTAGTTGACCAATCAGGAACGCTTTCATCGCGCCGCCATGTCTGTCTGCGAATTTCAAAAGCTTTCCAAATAGGCCTTATCGCTTAACACCGCGAACAGACCCTGCATAACATTTAGGCTTGTTTGACATTTCTTAGGCTCCGGTCGCACTCTCATGGGCTCAAATGGTTACGCGGTACGCGTTACGCTCTCCATGTGGTTACCGAACCTCAACAATTTGAATTTCAACATCGATACGACGATACATATCGGTATGAAAAATATCGATAGTCGGAGAACAAAACATCTGAGAGACGAACGGCGCGGCTCGGGGGGTTGGGACTTCGGACGGCGGACACTCGTCGGGGACGGTTACCAGTCCTGCGGTTACTCGGAGGGCGGACAGTTGGAGTTTTTAATTTACGAAAGACAAGAAAGAGCAAGAAAGGTCATTTAGAGAACGAAAAACGTTTAGAACTTTAACCAATTGATTTTGTACAGTCTTACATTACGATTAACGGTCTTTGAGAACAACAAAGCAAAACGACCATGGCTAAGACGACAGCATCCGAGCAGTGTGCAATCGCTGGGTCCATTCGTAAGTACCTGTACTTGTGTGTAGATTTATGTTTAATTTTATCCTCCTTTACTAAAATGCACTCGCATGTACGGATGCGTACACGCATTGGTTCTGGTTGTATTTTGATGTTGCACACTTGCTCGTTTATTAATATATCCCTTTCGAGGAAGAATGCATGTTGGGCATTTAGGTTATGTGTTATTACTAGTATTTTGCACAACACCTCTACTTGACAATTAAGCACTACAATCCATCTATGTCTGACTTATTAGTGTTTTATTTTCTAAATATTCTATTGAATTTTTCTTATTATTCATTACGTACTCGTTGCATGAAATTAATCAGATTTTGGTGTGACTTGGGTTGACGTTTGTGTTTTTCACACGTGCGCTTGTGTGCCAAATCTTTCTGCTCTCATCTCACGCGAAAAATTTTTTGGTAAACTTATAATTTGTCGTATATTTTATATAAGAAAAATTGTCGTTTTAGCGGTTGTCGAGTCAGTATGAAATAATAAATAATTCGTGAAAATCGTGATTATTTTGTACAATTAGATTTGAATGTTTTATTTTAGTATGGTAATTGAGCAGTACAAATGATTTTTACGCCTCAACTATTTTTGACGGTGCATCGCAAGAATTTGAGGAATATTTTGTGTATTCAAGAACCACGTGATGCAAAGATCTTTCGTTAATTTTTATTAAATTTATAAATTTTTTTTTGGTCCAACACGATTCGTAGTCATAGAATTGATTTTTATACAATGACAATTGCAAGTTGATTTAAAAATTCAATACCCATGTTTTATACTTTTACATAGGGAGCCAAAGAATGGAAAAATCAATGACAAACGCCCTAATTGTTTATGTATCCCATGAGGCTTGGTTAAAGTCTGTGTTAGAAGGAAATCATGGTAGAGTTGACACAAGCATAGATTATGGTGACAAAGAGGAAGAGGAAGAAGACTACTCCAACTATCAGTTCGAAGATGACATTTTGTACTTAAGATCTCTAGATCCTAAGGAATGGAAAGAGCAAGATCATTATGCAGTTCTTGGTATTAAAGATCTCAGACACAAGGCAACGGAGGATGTTATTAAGAGAGCTTGTAAGGATTTACTACACCAGTGTAGTGATAAAGTTTTTATTAATTTTCTCACAATCAATCAAACCTCTAAAGATTTTTTTATTATTTTGTAGACAAACACAAAATTCTTAAACATCATCCTGACAAGAGAAAAGCAATGGGTGAAGAGATCAGAGTAGACGACGACTATTTCACTTGTATAACTAAGGCTTGGGAAACACTTGGTAATCCAGTCAAAAGAAGAAGCTACGACAGTGTCGACCCATACTTTAGCGACATTCTGCCAGATGAAAAAGAGGCTAAGGAAAATTTCTACAAAGTCGTAGGCAAGGCCTTTGAAGAAAACTCGCGGTGGTCGTTGAAAAAGCCAGTTCCCAAGTTGGGCAATCCAAATACTCCACGAGAGCGGGTAGAAAAGTTTTATTTGTTCTGGTATGGCTTTGAGTCTTGGCGAGAATACTCTTACCAGGACGAGGAGGACAAGGAAAGTGGTCAGGACCGCGACACGCGCAAGTGGATCGAAAAGAAAAACAAATCCGTCCGTGCCAAGAAGAAGAAAGAGGAGATGATAAGAATACGACAGCTCGTCGATATGGCATACAGCATCGATCCGCGCATCCGCAAGTTCCAACAGCAAGACAAAGATAAGAAGCAAGCCGTCAAGCGTGCCAAGCAAGAAGCCGTGAAAGCCCGTCAGCAGGAAGAAGAACGGATAGCCCGCGAGGCGGCGGAAAAAGAACGCTTGGAGCGCGAGAAGCGCGAGGCTGAGGAGCGTGCCAAGATGGAACAGCAGAAGCAAGAGCGTGACCAGCAGAAGAAAGCTCTGCGCAAGGAACGTAAGAATCTGAGAGATATTTGTAAAGAAAATGCCTACTTTGCCAAAACGACAGACGAAAGTATCAGGCATATGGAGAACGTCGAAAAAATGTGCGAATTATTTAAATTGACCAAGTTGGAGGAAACGGTAAAGAGTGTGAGGGCCGAGGGTAAAGAGGCCTTTTTAAGGATAATGGAAGAGGTTGATCAGAGGCTACAGGCCGAGAGAAGGGCTGTCCTCGGGCATAAAGACAACGACGCGAAGAGTGCGCTCGAGAAGCAGGTTAAAGGCTGCACAGCTCCGTGGACTGAAAACGACTTGCAGCTGCTCATTAAAGCTGTAAATCTTTTCCCAGCGGGAACGAATCAGCGCTGGGAGGTTGTGGCGAATTTCATCAACCAGCACACGAATTCTACTGATGGAACAAAACGCGACGCCAAAGAGGTATTAGCTAAGGCCAAGGACTTACAATCCACCGATTTTAGTAAATCTAGTATGAAAGAGCAGGCCAATAAAAAAGCCTTTGACAATTTTATCAACGAGAAAAAGCACAAGGACGTTGATGACAGAATGCCCGCTGTCACTGAGAGACTCGACAATCCCATCCCCAACGGCAAAAGTGAGTTTATGAATATTCGGAGTTCTTTTTAATTTGGTCATTAGGTTCTATTTTGATTTTTTACATTTTTTTCTCATGATTTTTTTGCAGGTGCCAAAGATGCCGAGGTAAAGGAAAAGTCTGTAAAATCAGAGAAGACAGAACCCGCAGCATGGACACCAGCTGAACAGAAACTCCTGGAGCAGGCTCTCAAGACTTACCCAGCTTCCGTCGCTGACAGGTGGGACCAAATCGCCGCGTGTTTGCCTTCTAGAACGAAAAAAGAGTGCATGAAGAGATACAAGGTTTGTATTTGTTGTTGCTGGAAGTTGACATTTCGTGTGATTGTTGTTTGTAATTTTTTTCTTCTCTTTGAACAGGAATTGGTCGAGCTCGTGAAGGCCAAAAAAGCAGCCCAAGTGTTGAATTAGTGTTGACTTTTGTTCCTAAAGCAAAAAATGCAATAGGTTTTCAAATGAGTGTTCGCTTTACTGCTGAAATTTCATTTACAGGTGTAGAATTTCCATGTGAAGAAATGCCGCGGTCAAGTTGTCTTTTCAAAGTTCAAACACTCGACTAGCTATAAATAACACATTTATAATTATTATAAAACATTTTTACATTATTGTAAGATCGAAAGTAAGGAGTTTAATACTAAGAAAATTGTACAAGGATTAAAAAAAATCTACATCATGCGTTACGACGTTATTTTAGCCTCTGTGATTTCGTATCAAATGATGCTGTAATTTATGTAAGATAAATGAAATTGATGTGTAAAAGACAGGTTCAGTAAAATAATTCATTTAACCTTGAAATTTTTATTGGTTCTTTTTTCTTCCATGTCCCTAAAAAAACCTCAAAATAACAAATAAGTGTTATTCGAACAAAATAAACAACAAAAATGTAGACCTCAAATTTTGTATATTTATAATTTGACACATTATCTGACAACATCAACAACAACAACAATTTTTATTAGATTTTTCTCAAATTTTTTAATCGCTTATTTTATTTCTTTTTTTTTATTTAAATTTATTTATATTTCACATACTTGATAACACACGGTTTGCAGTCATAACTCCGTTTATTTCCCCATTTCACCTTACCCACTATTTCTTATTCTCTGCAGCATAAATGAGGAAAACGTATCTTCCACTTCATGTATTTATTTTATTTAATTAAATATTAATGGTACTGTAAATTATTATTCGTTATAATATTTACAAGCTGTGTGAATGAAAATGATCAAGAGTCTT